TTCTACATAGAGGAAGTGGTTATGAATGTCTTAGGTACTGTTGGTTTAGTTTCCAAATTAACTTTTGGATCAAAAAAGCAAAAAACATGTTTGGTTAACCGACTTTCAAAACTCCTTTCAAATTTTTTTTCTCTCTCCTCTCTCTCATTCTCTCACATTCTGCATATCAATCAATCAAATTTCTCACACCCATCTATTCAACTAAAAAAAATTTAAAAAATAAACTACAAATCATCCCAAAACTATTTTCACACTTATAACCAAACAAATTTTCAATTTTCAAAACTTTTTTCAATTACTTATCTTTCAAAATACAACTCAAAACTCATTTTAAAAACTAAACTGAATGGAGCCTTAATCTCTCTCTCTCTCTCTCTCTAATGTTCAAGCGCAAACTAGCATGCTGCAAGTACTCTGTCAGTCTGTGGGGTTGATTTATTTTATCTCTTCTCTTTATGATTTCATGATGGGATAAATGTAGATTGTAGATACATTATTAATCATATGGCTTGGCAAGTTGCTCATACATCTATCATCAGCTATGTTTCAATTTGCTCATTGTTTCATCTTTGTGTCAGCGTGTTATCATTGTTGAGTTCTTTAAGATGTCTCCTGAAATGGTCCTCCTACTGTTAGAGTTTATCTGATTTGTAACTTATCTGATGTAGGACACAGTAACTGGATTTTTACTGGCTGGAGTAGGCAATGTGGATTTGCGAAGGAAGACAAATTATCTTATTGTGGACTCGAGTACGTTTTTTAGCTATGAATGTTACGAATTTTTTTAATATTTTGTGCGTAATATCATAGAATTTATATGATCAACCATAATTTATTTAGGAAGTTGTTTGTTCATTGTTTTAACTTTTCCTTTGGTTCCACTTTTCTGAATGAACATTCCCTTTTCTTTTGGTTTTTGGGTGGCCCTAAAGTCTAAAAGAATGAACAATCCCTCTTACCTGAAAGATTGAACTCAGTAATAATATAAATGGCTTTTGATGATAGTTGTTTCTTCAGAGTGATTCTCACTAGAACAAATGGCTAATACTAGCCTCCAATAGATTGAAAAACTATCCCCAATGCAACTGGTTGGTCAGCATACCCTATTTGGATTATTGGTGAGTTTTATCATTTCCCAACAATGGATTCACTCTCTCAACCAAGCTCACCTACCTGTTACCCAGGGTCCTTTGTGTTGTAGATTTTTTCCCCTGCGGCAGCCATGTTACACCTTCCTTTAAAATGAACAGCTAAAAGTTGATTTAAGGAAATTCAAATTTTTCTTTTAAGTTGACGAGAAAGGGGACTTCTTTTTTCTTTTTCTTTTCTTGACTTGATAACTATATGGGCTTGGACGAACGATATAAGATTCCAAATGTTGTTCTTTCTGTCTTTATCCTTTTCACAATGTATATAACCTTCTCTTTTCCAGTGTTGATTTGATTGAATTATTGGATATTCTTACCTTGGCTTACAGAGATTATTTTATTATGGTTTTGAAACAACGGTGAAACAAATTGAGGATGCATTCAAAGAGTTCACAACAAGAGAGGACATTGCAATAGTGATGATCAGTCAATTTGTAAGTTTGTTTATTATATAATGTCAATTTTTGAATTGGTTTATATGCTCCTTCTCTGTGGTTATGCATATGATAATTAAGAAATTTGACTAAAATGGTGAAAGTCCATATCATATCAGACATGTCACAAGAACCATAAGATGCTCTTTGTTTCTTCTTCTTCATCATGGAAAAATTGAATTTTTAAACATGCACTTTTTGCACATACTAACATCGTATGGCATTTGACAGTGGGTTTTATTTATTTTCTGGCGATTAGTGAATGTCAATGACTTCGCTACAGGCCATTATGGCTATAATTTTAACTTTGCTAGTGACATAACATTCACTTATCATAGGTCACAATTCACTTTTGCTTTTCTGTTTGCTCAACAGTCAGGGTTTCAGAATATTCTGGCTATTTGGTGCAAATTATCTAAGCTGCTTATAGTTTTTATTTTATTTAGAAAGTTTGTGTTAGACTGTTTAGTGTTGCTTATGCTTACAGTTTATTAGGCAGAAATAATTTAAATAAGTTGAAAAAACCTGACTATCAAAAAGCTGATTAGCAGATGAATGACCAAGTCCCACACATTTGTTAGTAGTAATGGTAGTAAGAGGCAAGTGAGGACTTGGATTTTGCATTGCTGTGCCTTTTCAGTTCTCATCTGATTTCTGAAACAAAACATCACCCTCTGCTCATCTTCAGGTTGCAAACATGATAAGGTTTCTAGTGGATAGCTACAATAAGCCAGTGCCAGCAATTTTGGAGATTCCTTCCAAGGACCATCCTTACGATCCTACACATGATTCTGTTCTTTCACGAGTGAAGTACCTCTTCTCTGCTGAATCAGTGGCATCTGGGAGGCGTTAAATTCTCACCTACATAGTTGATTTATTTCCGCCCATTGTTATATCATGTTTCAGCACCATTTCCCTTGAGTTGCGTATCGTGTCCTGAATCATTTATCTTTTTGCACTTGAGTTGTTTGTTTTCTTTTTCTTTTTTTCATGAAACTTGTTTAAGATGCGGCGTAGCTGTTGGTCTTGATTGTAATTTCAAATAAGCTATATTTATGAAACCATTTATTGGAAATTTATATCTATAGTGAAAATTGATTCAAATGTCATATGTTTGATATATGTTTCACCCCAAGTTACTACTCAGAAGCAGCAAACTGGCATAATCTCTAATCCTGAGTAAGATTTGTGATGACATGGACATCACTATGCTTATTGTGTGAGATAAATTTTATGAAATTAATCTCTACTACTTAATTCAAACTATGAATTTGAAAAATTATTTTTTAAAACTATGTGTGTTTATTTCATTTAAATTATTAACTAGTATCTTTAACACAATGTTACATATGTTGACTCACTCGATTGGTTGAAAGTTTTTATTCATTTTGCCCATAATGAATAGATATTGACATACCATGTAACAAAATAAGTTGTTTTAAAAATATTTAAGAACATCAATAGTATGAACCTAGAAATTTTATTTTGAAATATCGATTTAGATTTTTTTATATATGGACTCTACACTTATACCAATTCAATCTCTACTATAAAACACACTATTCAAAAAATTTATATGAATTTTACTCATGCATTAATTTATGACTTAGATTCATTTGCATATGCCCCCACATTTATACTAATTTAATCTTTATCACATAAGACAATATCCAGAAAAATTTGGATAGTTATATCTGGAATGGTAGACTTCTCTTTAAGAAAACATAGAGTAAAAATCAATTGTGACAAATTATTATTTTTAGATTCAATTAAATTAAACAAATTATGTACATAAAAATATTTTTAAATCTGGTCAGAAAAATATTAATGAATTAATGCCAATGATTTAACGAATAATTATTCAAAATTGATAATTTTAAAGATGAAAGAGGGTAAAATACTGAAATGACACAAACAAACCCTATTATCTTAGTTCATAGTTTTTCTTTCTTTCTTTCTTTTTTTGTGGATAAATTACACTCATTTCTCTTGAAATTTAAAGAAAATACAGGCAGTCTTACACTTTTTACATAATTACAGTAACATCCCTTTTAGTATAATTAAAACTTCTAAAACTAAAGTCAATAGGTAGACACTGAAATAAATAAAAACAAATATACATTTTAGTAAGAAATAGATAATATCATTATTTTCAATCATACGACTAATAAATTATTGATGAAAAAAATGTAAGGATGATGTGAAATAAAATTTTGAGGGAGTTATGTCGAAAGTGGGAAATTAACTATATTATTTTTAAATTACAAGAAAAGTGAGTTTAATTTACTTTTATGAACAAAATTATTAGATGATTTGAAAATCAATATAAAAAATTGATTAATTGTCATTGAGAAAATTAATAACATTGAACATAGCATTAATGTTTACTTCAAGTTGCTAAATAATATTAGGAGAAGTAGATGATTTGATTTGAAGGGCAAATGGGAGAAAATAAAAACACATAACTGATTTTTTGAAGGCCCAAACAAAGACAATCCTAAAAATCACGTAACATTGTCTGTATTTAAATAGTAAAAAAATAACCAAAATTAAGTAAAAGAATAAGGCCACGAGAAGAGAAGGAAGAAATACACAGAAGAACTAGCAGAAGAAGAAATAAAGGGCAGAGGGAGGTCGATCGACCGGATGACCCGGGAGACGACCGGCTCAGCTATTTTGCTTGGCAAAAGGTGCAAACAGTTCAAACAGATCATTTTTCTTATCTCAAACTATCTGTATACTCGTTTGGATTTCTTAGAAATCATTTGCAAATAACAGATGAAGGATATATTTACCAGATTAGTGGGAATGATTTTTTCAAATTAGTGACCGATAAGAAAATATGTGAAATAAATTGCTGAGTTATTTGACCTCACACTTATCGTTGTTTGGTTGCCCGTAGAAGGAATCGTCCACAACGCACAAATTGTAAGTAACTCGATTTGTGGGAGATGATATGAGTAGGGAGCGGGTTCACAGGATTCATCATTTATAAAATGGTCTGAGTTCTCTATGAATACTACCCGTGACAAATCTTCAGTCCTGATCTTTGACATAGAGAAAGGAAGATGAGTAAATTAGTTCATGTGAAACTTTTCAGAGAGACGATGGACATTGAAGCTTTTCAGAAAGGAAGAGGAAAAAGGTTGAAACGTTGAAAGTGAAGAAATGAATCACAAGGTTGCCAAACAGGTTTTCAAATTGTAGTTTGAATTATATAGTAGAATTGTATTTTGAAAATGTAATCCAAACGTGAAGCGCGAGTGATAGTGTTGAAATGTAATTTGAAAACGCAACCAAATAGAGTCAAAAAATTTTATTTTCTTTTTATTTTTTGTACATTTTTATTAAAAAAATTAAAAAATTATTAAAATAGTCGGTTCAAACGAGGAGTGACTATTTTAGCCGAATGTTGTTCTCAAACAAGACCTTTGTATGGAGAAAGAAAATTGTGTGGGAATAGAAGCTACCAATTGTCACCTAAAGTGTAACCAAAATACTAGCAATTGTATTTCTTCCTTGCTTGCGGCTCCTGCTCTTGGAGGAGTCCGCGTCGGGTCTCCATCGACCGTCGGAGAAGAAAAAGAAGAATCCACAAAATGCTTGGAATTTCATACGGAGAACTCTTCCTTTTACTTGGAGCCACTGCTGCTCTCATCGGTACTCCTCTCTCTCTCTCTCTCTCTCTCTCACACACACACACACACACACACACACACACACATATATATACACGTATATACAAAATTATGAAATGTTTGAACCGAATTAGGGTTTTGATTGATTATTAGGTCCTAAGGATCTCCCAATTATAGCCAGAACCGCCGGCAAGTTAGCTGGCCGTGCCATCGGATACGTTCAATTGGCTCGCGGCCAATTCGATACTATCATGCACCAAACTCAAGCTCGCCAGGTCTCTCTCTCTCTCTACACATTGGCACGGACAATAATTCCGAAAATCATCTTTGTGTGTTCTTCATTCTGCATATACGTTTAGACACCCTAGCTCACGTATCCTAAAAATTTAGAAAGGAATAATTTTGCATAATATTGGAATATAATTATAAGAATAATTATAAGAATAGTTCTTAAATATTTTTTTTTAGTTCTTACCCAAGGAGAATATAGTGACATTAAATTAGTATGCTACTTTTGCCAAATTTATCCAATTAATATGTCCACTTGAACAAAAAAAAAAAAAAAAAAAATTACGGGCTCCTATACTAATCCTATCTAATTACTAAAATTGTTTTTTCACAATTCTTTGAGCTTGTATATAATATAATACTAAAATTATAATGTTTTTTTAAATGTATCCTAGCTGTACTTGTATCCTATTATTTTAGATTTTTTTGTATTGTCGTATCTGTATTCATGCTTCATAGATCAGTGTTGATACCAGAACCTTCTATGGTAAGTGGCGTTGTTTTGTGTTATGTAAGATTTTATAGTATCCATCAACTGCAGGATTAGTATTGTTCTTTGTTTGTTTGTTTCATTAATTAGATGTTACAAATGTTTTTTTGGTGCAAAATATTGGAACAATGGTGCCCTCTAACTCTCTCTTGGTTTTTAACTTCCAGGTGCACAAAGAACTGCAAGATACAATTGCTCAACTAGAAGCCATACGTCATGAAATTCGAACCGTCTCTTTCATGAATCCTGGTCCATTGACTCGGAGGCTAGTGGACAATCTTGACCAAACATCTGCTGCTAGTGGTATCCTATTTGTTTGAGATCTTTAAATTTCTAAATTGAATGGCTATGTTTTTCTCGTGTGAATTTGGGGCAATTGATTATTCTTTTTATGGGTTTCAGGTAATAATGAGCCTGAAAAACCTGACACAGCGAACAGATCAACCACTCCAGATGCTAAGGTTTTATTTAGCAGAATCACCATTCATTGCATATTACATTCTTTTCATGTAGAATTTTCTTATACCAATAATGATTTAACTTCTTTTTTTTATTATTATTATTTGTTTTCTCCCAGAATTATGGCTCAACAAACTCGGGATTTTCTGATATGCACAGCCAGGCAACAGCTTATGCGAAATTGGCTGAATCAACAGCTATAAACTCTGGGTCAGTAGAAAGTAATGAAGTTATTAATGAGCTAACTGATGAATCTGGTATTATGGTTCTTCCCGTATCTGCCGAAAGCACCGGATTACTGCCAGATCGCAAGGGTACTAACCTTCTATTAGATTTAGCATCACATGTTTTTGTCTTACCACGTTGCCTCTTGGTTAGTTTAGTTTAACTGTTAGTCATAGTTTAGTTAGTTTCTGTCTTGGTTAACCAGGGATTCTTAAAATAGGATATTTCATAAATTTTTATGTGTTAGATAAATGAATTTATGAAATTGTGTGTCTCGTAATTGAAGCAATTCATTCTTGCAATTGTTTCTATAAGTGATGTATCGAAAAATCTAGAAAGAGATCAAGTAGGGCTCATATTTTGTCCTTTTTTAAGGTGTTGGACCATTTTGAAGTCTCCTTTTTTTCTTTTTCTTTTTCTTTTTTTCCCGTTTAAGCGAGCTAAAATATTCTTTGACGAGTAGCAGCACTTTAATGTCTCCTTTAAGCTGGAAATGTGACATCACATGAAAGTTTGGTACTTAGAAGATTTTTGATGGATGGAAAATTTGTAGTGTTTAGAAAGCTACTAGACCTTTAGATGAGTGAAGCAACACTGCATGATACTCTAAATCTCAAGGGATGCTGCAATTTGAGACAAATTGGGAAGCCTTTGTAGAAGTGAGTTGATTACACCTCTTAAAATTTTGACTTGAGAAAAATATAAAGTAGCATTCACCCCAATTTCAACTTGAAGCTATTTTACAAGTTCAACAATTTTTACATTGAAGGAAAAGTAGTCCTGCTCCCTGTAAAGCCACCCAATCACTATCCATATTGAGTTAGACGTTTGAACCAACTATGTGGTGGCACCAAACACGTGTTCTAAATTTCCACAGAATATATAGTTTTGTGGGAGTTTACTTAATTCATTACTCTGCAACTTGTAACTCGTGCTATTTCTTTCTTGTTCATCAAATATCACTGTTTTACAAAACCAATAAACACTTGTATCATTTGACCATAATTAGTTTTTAGTTTGAGAGACAATTTATTTGATATTATTGTCCAGCGCATAAGAATAAAAAGGATCAATCAACTATCACTCATCATCAAATATTGATATTATAGTCCATTAACGAAAACCACCTGAGAAGAAGTTTGCAATTTCTTACGAATAATTGACAAGATTTGGATCCTCACCACCTCATTGAAAGCTTGTTTATGTTAGAGTGATAATACCTCTGGAAATGTTTCCATATTCCTTTAGTAGGGTATGCACAAGGAATGTTGAATTTCTGAAGATAAAAATACCCTGAAGTCTCCCAAATTATTCATGGGAAATAGGAGATGTTCTTGCTGAAATGAATTTGAGCCTCAAGACCCCTAATCCCCAACAAAAAAAATCAAAAAGAAGGTTGATACAACAACAAAGCATGCATACAATTGTGTGGAGCCTGCAAGCGGGAAGAAATTGAACATCACAAACACAACTAAATTTACGCATGTAGTAGTGGCCTTCGTCTCTTGAGGATATATGAAGAGGTCACTGTCTCTAGGCATGATGCTGCATATTTAACCACAAATAGAATCCGCTGAAACTCAATGTGGCCAAATGGCGACAAGATCTCCAATTTACCGTCTGCATTGCATTCTCTACTGTACTGTTCTAATCTTACAGTGCCAGACATCTCTGAAGTTAACTCGATTCAGTAACTCCATAGCCTGTCCTGTAAAGGTTGGGGAAGTTTAGTTTCCTAGATTATGACACCATCCTTGGACTTATACGTCTTTGGTTATCTGGAAACTGGACATGGGAAATGCTTCAAGACAAGTCCTCCAGTCTTTCAAGTAGAATGAAGGTTATTATCCAGTGTTGGTCATGACAGTGCATGGTGCTGAGAAGGGTTGACCTAGTCTTCTGCATTATTTGCACAAAGTGACTGCCTTCAGACTTGAATCCATATTCTCATGCTTGGAAACTCAAATGTTAATGCTTCCGTCAAAGTAATTTCTTAATCCTCTCAAATAGAAGGGGAGTAACTTACTAAGGAATTAAAAAAGTAGTATAGGGAAATTACATCAAATTCTGTAAGAAGTAGTCATCAAATTCTGTAAGTAGTAGTTCAAGAATTGGCTGGGCTCGTGTGCCCTACTCAGTTACATATGGCATTACAGTAGCGTACAATCTATGCTGCAATAGTAATGAGACTTTCACGATTCTACAGTATGTCATACCTTAATACATTTGCAGTATTTGTTTCAGTAATTGCTTGTTTGCATGATCAGTGTCTGTATGTGCATATGTTATTTATACATCAGGTAACTTATATACATATGGATGGATTTTTTTATGCATGGTACATGTGCTTGCATTTTTGCATTCACATTGTTGTACAGAGAAATAACCTGTTACTTTGGTGTCAGATAATGCCGAAGGATCTGACATTATGTTGGAAGCGATCTTGGAAGCAGAAGTGGCACGTAATGCGAAAGATTTTTTTGCGCAGCACCAAAATCAAATAAAATGTGAATAGAAAGGTATTTTGTTTTATAGCATATTCACTAGTCCCATTTGTTTGGAGTCTTTGGACTGTAAGCATTTGCAAATGGAATTCGTAACTCAACATGTCTGCGATGAATTTCTAAAAGCTTTGGGAAGGGCTGTGTATGACAGTTTTGCTTCATCAGGAAAGCTAATAACCATATGCTAAAAGAATAATTCTACTTTATGGTATAAAATCTGCCGAAGAAAAAGAAAAAAAAAGGGGGAAAATGGATTGATTTAGTAAAAGTTACCCAGTACTTTATTTTTTGTTATTAGCTGTGTGTTTATGATTTACAACAACTTGTCTTTTCATTATTTATTGCATTTGGGCTTTCCATCACTCTAATGGAAAATGTTGTTGCTAACAGGAATGACATTATGCAAAATAATTTGGCATTCGAGCTCCCACACATTTCTTCTGCAGTGAATTGGAATGGACGTTGCCTGTAAGTGAAGGTTACAAATTTCAGTCCTTGGATTAGAATGGAAATGATCATTAAAATTTGTTAAGCATGAGTCGGATGGGTATGACTAGATCCCATTCACTGCACATCTATGATTTTATAGGTAACTGACATACATTATCAAACAGGCTGTTACTGACAATTGAGATTAAAAGATGGTTTTGTTGGCGTTCTTTTCAAACTTCTGGTGGAACACTGTTGTACAGAGTTGTGTTGACATGGTTTTTTTTTTTTTGTTGATAAAAACATTGCTCATGGCTAATGAATGAATCCTTTGTGATTTCAATACATGAAAAAGAATATGAACTTGTTGCGATCCCATATCAAAACAAGAGGGGCTTGGCCTTCTGAATATAATGCCTCTTGGGCACCTTCTCTTTACAAGCAGGATTTCAAATGTGAGTTCCACACAAGGAGTTTGTATGAGAACTTTCTACCCTGTGGCCTTCTAGGATTGGATGGATGTTGAGTTTGATGACTAGGTTTGCTACATATGGTAAACTTCTATTTTTTATTTTTATCTATTTTTTAGCCAATTTTCTAAGGGTGAGTAGCCTGTGGTGTTGAGTTTGATGATTAGGTTTGCCAGATGGCACGCTTTTGTTTATTGTACTTTATTTATCTATTTTTGATTTCTCAATGCACTTCCAGCTTCCTGGTACCTTGAGAGGTGTAAGGAATAGCTGATACCCTTTTAGGATGTGAATTTAACAAAATTAAAGGCCTATTGGGCAACCAAAGAAAACTGAGAAAAGAAAAGTGATATTTACACGTACTTTCTAAATTATTGTAAAGTGTCTCTTTGATCTCTTAAACTGAATTTTTAATAAACTGAATTTTTAAATTATTTATATTGTAAAATCCCTTAATGATATTAACAGAGCACGTTTAATTAGCAAAATGTTTTATTTTATACCCTTGAACTTTTAGGAAGTATCACTTCACCTACTGAATTATGTTTAGAGATGTGATATTCACCACGAAGAAGGGTTGCAGAAGAATGAGATTCGCAAGAGGGAGGTTGGGTTGATAATGACGGTTGGCAACAGTGGAGGGCTGAGAGTGGTGATAGTGAAATAAGTTTTCCAAAGATGGAGTAGAGTGGATGGATGACAGAAAGTTCTTTAAAAATTAAAAATGAGGATGTTATGCTACGAATCTAGAATTATATATTCATAATTTATTCAGAATTTGCATGTGATTGAGATTTATTATATATATGAATCTCATTATACACTCATTCAATCTCCACCGTTGATCTTCTTTTTGGGTAAATTCTGAGTATCCATTTTTTGGATTCTCAGGCTAATCTTATTAGAATAAAGAGATGAATACTATTTTTTTTTTTTTTAATAACTTAAAAGACATGTATGCAAAGTTTTGAAACCCAAATCACTAAACTGAACCTGAAAGGAAGTTGGGGCAAGATTAGTAGTTCAATCATTGAACTGAATTGAAGTATAATGTCATAATTATATTTTAAATATATTAATAATTATGCATAATGAAATATATCTATTAAATTACAAAATGTATACTTTCATAAGCAATTTATATTTATTTCAAGATTTGAAATTTTTTAGAAAGCCATTGTATATTTCTTAAAGACATGCCTGTTACACTTTCACCTATGGTTCAAGTCTAGAATATTACTCTTTTAAGGAGAGACGCATGAAAATCTAGCACGTTATATAATTTGGATGGTTTACTCAGGGTTGTAAATTCGGCCCGATCTGGCCTATCAAGCCTTTGTCAAAAATTAAATCTGATTGCATTGACCCACTTTTTAAAAAATTAAGCCCAGATTCAGAGGGTAATTGGGCCTCAAGCGAGTCCGGTTTCGGGTTGGAGGGCCTGAATTTTTTTAAAAAATTTCATTATAATAATTTGAAAATGACGTTGACGTCGGTTAGGCTAGGCCTCATATGGAGCCGGTGGGCAGGACCCAAAAACACGTGGCGTAAATCCTATCTCAAGTTTCAAAACGATGGGCCATTATTACAGCTGGGACATTTTTACACCCTTTATTCATGTTTTTAAAATTAATTGGTCCGTCCTATTGGATTTTAAAAACGACAATAATATATATCACTAAAAAAATGTCTAAAGTTGAGGGGCCAATCACGGAGCATGTTTTAACTATTTGAGTAATTTATTTGGTCGGAATTTATGTATAAATTATTTATGAAAAAAAAAATTGATTTTCATTATCTAATTGATTTGATTTTTTGCAAAGATAGTGTATTCAACGAATTTTAAAATATGAATAGTTCAAATCATTAAAGAAAAATTCTAAAAATAAGTCAAACGAATTGAATAACACTTCTCCAATCCAATTAAGGACAAGAGAGAAGCCCGTCCTCTTGTGCCACATGGCGTGAAGTTCTGCATCATCACCTACCCAACTTTCAATAATTTCACTATGACGAAGTAAACGAACATCCTCGGAGGAATTGATGAGGCAATTCATGAAGACGACATAGTCACAAATGTACTCTGGCTCATGATATGAAGGACACAACTCAAAGGCAACTAGATTTGTGAAGAAAAACTCACCTTCTTCTGCTGCGATGGATAGTAATGGGATTTCCAATATCCCACTAATGAACTTTATATCAAACAAGTTTCTTTCCTCAGCCTTCTTGAATTGAATCCTCAACTCTTGCAGTTCTGTTGCAGAATTTATAAACTCCAATTCCTTTTCCGTTGCATTTCTACTCATCTCAGCAAATTAAAGCACCAACAACTATGTACTAGGTGAAGTAGATGTTTGATGTTGTTGATTGAGATTCCTCTAGGAGCTTCTAACTTCTGGTCTGGTGCGTTAAATTCTAGAAAAGTTAAGGCTATTTGAATGATTTCCAAGTCTGAATCAATTTTAGTCATGTTGAACAAACGAACAAGGATAAAGAATGGAAGTTGATTTTCAAGTAAAATTAAGTCACGCCGTAATGCAAATCTAATCTGCTCTGATTGGAAAATATGGTCACTCTTAGCTCTCAGTCGCCGCATACTTGACTTGCGAAATAACTCAATGATAATTAAACTGTCAAGAAGCATCATTTCCACAAACTCATCTGATTCGAGGGGAATGGTTTCTGCATAACAATTGCGTGCTCTTTCTTCCAATTCTTTTATGGCCATGATGTATTCATTCACACTCTTGTTTTTTTTCTCAATTGAGAAGTTGTTGCAGGTACCGTAATTTGTGCTCTTCCATCTGTTTGAGCTTAGCTTTGTCACGATGGTAACGACCAATAGCAACCATTAATGGTTCATAGGCTTTCTCATTTTGCTTCCGTAAGCCATCATACATTCTGAAGATACAACACTCAGATGATGGATGGTAAAAATTAGCAAGCTTTTTGGCAAATACTAATGGAGACATTATCTGCTCTTTCTTCCGGTTCCCTTTTGGCCATGACTTCGCTGAAACAAATTAATTGTCATGCTTTTTAATATATTATATATATCTATATAATAAGGCAAGAGGCTTTTTGAAAATATAGAAAATGTATGAGAGATGCATTTGATATTAACGGCTGAGATGCATCTTAAGTTTATCTCGATGGTTCAGATTGGTTGAGATGAATGATGATTGCTGTCTAAAGAAACCCACTATGTTCCCCCCACCTGTCCTCTCTCTTTCACTCTCACTCTGTTCTTCAACAGAAGCAAAGAAACCCACCCGACGCTCCTCCACGTATCAACCCCCCCCACATTCCCTCTCTATCTCTATCTCTTTCTCTCTCTCTCGCTGTCGCTCTCTCTCTTTCACTCTCTGTTCTTCTTCTTGAACAGAAGTCCACCCTCTCTATCACAACCGACGCTCCTCCTCCTTCTCCTTCTCCTTCGTCACGTCCCTCTTCATTAACCGTTCGATTTCAATTCTCTTCATCGACACCTACCCTCTTCGCTACCTCCTCCTTCTCCTCCTCCTTGGTCACGCTCTTCTTCATCGCAAGGTAAGATTCCCTTACAACCCTTTCCGATTTCAATATTGTTTTGTGGCTTTGATTTCAATATCCAGAAGAGTTGGGGCTTTGATTTTTTATTTTGATTTTTGTTTTTCTAAACCTTAAATTGATATGTTAATTAGGTATTTTCTGGATATCATTTTTAGGTATTTGGATTGCTCTAAAACAATTCTCCGAAAAACACCATTTCGGTTACAAAGCTCTCTTTATATACCGCTTCGCATTGATCTGTGAGTGTTTTTGTGTTTTCTTTTTTGATAGTGACTTCAATTCCACTGTAGGTTTCGATTAGTTTGTAATTGTGTGTATGTATAGTTGATGTGTTTCAAATTATGTTGATTTGTTTGTACCTAATTGTGTTGATTTGTGTTTCAAATTAGTTTGTAATTGTGTTGATTTGTTTGTACCCAATTAGTTTGTAATTGTGTTTGTTTCGCATTGATCTGTTGATTTGTTTTCTTTTTATTGGGTTTTGAGTTTTAAGACTTAATAGAAGTAGTTTTGTTGGTGGGTTGGTGTCATTGGATTTGTTTGATGGAAACTTAGGAGTGTTTCTACGTTTGGAGCTAATTTGGTGAGCTGGGTCTGAATTTGGAGGTGAATTCAGGATTGGGAAGAGGAATTATATACATTTCGGTGTGTTGTTTGTTGGTGGTATTGAGGTCTATAATGGTTATAATAAATCTGTTTGTTTATCATCATTATCATCAAGGTTTGATTGTTTATCTGGGTTTATGAGGTAATTAAATTTGGGGTTTTCAATCTATGTAAACTATTGAGGCAATTGGATTTGTGTTTTTATCAATCAACCAACACTTTTATGAAATAAAAGTTCTTACCAGTATTTATCGTGTGAACCTCAACAAAGTCTCTAGAGTTTCTTAGTTTGTTAATGCTTTGTTTGCCTGCCAAGAAAACTTAGAAAAAGAAACACAATAATAAAAGTAAATTTACTTTTTTTTTTCCCCCTGGTTTTAGTACGCTAACAAATTATATGAATTTCCATATCCCCATCCTCCTCTATGTCCTTTTGGATTCTTGACTTTTTGTTGGAAAATAGAAGAAAATGTGCAGAAAATGCTAAACAAATTAAGCCATTTTCAAGCATCTTCCCTCACTCATTGCACAAAGGTAGTGGCAGCCTGTCGAGGTGGGAACAAGCATAGTGGTGTGGCTAGACTCCTTTAGTGCAGATCATGTTTTC